AACAACGCCTGTTTTTTATCAACTCTACCATCCCAGACTAAGTAAGTGCCCGTTAAGCCCGGGAATTACGGTATTTGCTTGTCATGGTCGCGACACAGGGACTCCATCCCAGCCGATCAATGCGACTACTGGAGCGTGACGTAATACTGCATCTCATTGTCACACGCCCAGTCCACCTGACAAGGTACAGCGGGAAACCAGTTTATACACCAGAGACCAGCAACTAGCTGACGATGACTAATATAAGTTTGGGAGTCTGATTTATAATGAGAAATTCATGTCACAGTATGAATAAATCTTTGATAACAAACGAATCTAAGTCACGCTTACGAGATCGATCTCGGTATAGCGCCGTACCTGTTTGATGAGGTCAGTGACTCCTGTAGGCTTCGGCACACACCAGTCGTAACGGTGTCGGCCCGGGAAAGCGAAATTTCAATATTCCCTATTCCCGGTAAAGCGAAAACCAAAGTTGTGCTATGAAAACACCGGATTACCGTACTTCAGATTAGCGCGCGACCCCAATACTCGTTCTGTGAGCCGCTTAACTGAGATGAAGTTGCAGTTGTTTCAAGTTTCAGCACTTAATCTATGACAAGTTTAAGCATCGATGTAGGAAAACCCTCCGAGAAAAGAAGTATTGGAGCTGTGTAGTAAAATTTGTTTGTTGTTACTGGTATTTGACTATTTTATTTAATCCACCGTGCAAAGACGGTTGTTCGAGCAGATCTCACTAATTCTCAGTTAACTGTGACAATTGCTGTCGCCGACATTTTGGCTGTCGGTGCTTTCAAATTTTATATTAAATCAAGGTGTATCTGTGCAGGTATTCTAAATAACACTAAATTTACAATAAGTATCAACCTTCATTAAGACTGCAGTAAGTTATATTGCAGCGTCAGAAGCAAACATTTGGTTCTATGGCGTCATGTTTGATATGTCAGTAGTGCGTATTCTTTGCATTTAAGCTTGCTGCAAAATGCTATCCAACGGAAGTTTTGTTATATTGAGTGTCATGAAAGAACAAACTTTTGTGTTTTGTTGTCTAGTATTGCCGAAATATCAAATGTGAATCAAACTTTGACAAGAGAAAGTAGTGTTAGGTTGTTATCGCCTTATATATATAAGTAACGTAAATTACATTGCAGTAACGTAAATTACGTCAATGAATGTTGTAATGATGATGTAAGTTGTCTATGCACGATATTTTCAATTCCACCTCCACATGATCCATTCATGTGACTTATCGGTGAACAGTCTGTGGCTCAAACATTTATTGTTATTTATTTATGTATTAAATTTCTACCATGACTACGGTATCTGACGACGACTCCCACTTCTTGTGTATTGAGAGTCCCAGGAACGCGAAATTCAGTGTTAACTGTAGTTTGACCGTTCCAGCGAAAGCGAAACCTAAATTGAGGAGGTTTAGTCCAGATTTCGCTTTCCCGGGCCATAACCGTCGTAACATCAATCAGCAGCCTCGTGTGCTATAACATGTCATTTAATCGACACAGCTCGTATATCGACAATCTGCTTGTCTCGAACTCAGTACCAAATATTGAGGGGAGGGGCGGAAAATCATCTCGATCATCTTGATGTCAAAGACACGTTTGCAATAGATTATTCCATCTCCTCGACACAACGTTGTACAAGAGCGATCTTAGCCCTACGACGGTCGTAACTCTATGTTAAAGTATAGGAGATACGATCACTTTAGCGCAACTACGGTCGTAACTCTGTGTAAAAATACAGGAGATACGATCACTTTAGCGCAACGACGGTCGTAACTCTATGTTAAAGTACAGGAGATTCGATCACCTTAGCGATACGACGGTCGTAACTCTATGTTGAAGTATAGGAGATACGATCACCTTAGCGATACGATGGTCGTAACTCTATGTTAAAGTATAGGAGATACGATCACCTTAGCGATACGATGGTCGTAACTCTATGTTAAAGTATAGGAGATACGATCACCTTTGCGCAACGACCGTCGTAACTCTATAATAAAGTACAGGAGATACGATCACTTTAGCGCAACGACGGTCGTAACTCTATGTTACAGTATAGGAGATACGATCACTTTAGCTCTACGGCTGTCATAACTCTATGTTACAGTACAGGAGATACGATCACTTTAGCGCAACGACGGTCGTAACTCTATGTTACAGTACAGGAGATTCGATCACCTTAGCGATACGACGGTCGTAACTCTATGTTAAAGTACAGGAGATTCGATCACCTTAGCGATACGACGGTCGTAACTCTATGTTAAAGTATAGGAAATACGATCACCTTAGCGCAACGACTGTCTTAACTCTATGTTAAAATACAGGAGATACGATCACTTTAGCGCAACGACGGTCGTAACTCTATGTTACAGTATAGGAGATACGATCACCTTAGCGCAACGACTGTCGTAACTCTATGTTACAGTACAGGAGATTCGATCACCTTAGCGATACGATGGTCGTAACTCTATGTTAAAGTATAGGAGATACGATCACTTTAGCGCAACGACTGTCGTAACTCGACGTTAAAGTACAGGAGATACGATCACTTTAGCCCTACGACTGTCGTAACTCTATGTTAAAGTACAGGAGATACGATCACCTTAGCGCAACGACTGTCGTAACTCGACGTTAAAGTACAGGAGATACGATCACCTAGCGCAGCGACTGTCGGTGTGCTGTGCCTCTATATACCTTAACAGAATTATTGGGACAAAACATGGATTAGTCTGCTTGCAGTCGGTGTGCTGTGCCTCTGTGGGACAGCACCCTAAAGCCGCAATTAATATGGACGAGGACATACACGCACACACACACGCACACGGACACGCACACACTTGCATGAACGTCAATATACAAGTGCAGTAGTCTTAAAGGCCACGTGAAACTCCACTTTACTTCACTCTACTACAATGTTAAACGACGACTTGGAATAACTGCAAAACTCTACATATATTCAGATTTGGGAAAGAAGAATGATGATAATTTTATGGATATACAACTTCTGTATTCTGTGAGTTGTATATCAATAAGATTATCATCATTCTTCATCAACTCAACTTCTAATATTCCCATCAAAGAAGATCTGGCAAGGGCGTAGAGGGTAATGTCCGAGTAACTCTCCATTCCTTAAAAATAATGGAGCCGAGGCCCCGGAGTGGCCGAGGCACATTGATTTTAAGGAATGGAGAGTTACTCGGATATTACCCTACTTAAATTACATTCAAAGTATTGGGAATATTTCTGTTATCAAAGTTATATGTCAAAATGACAAAATGAAGTCTTTAATTTGAAGCTGGTACACATCGCTCCATTCCTGAAAAGTAATGGAACGAGCAGACAATGGAATGACGTCACAAGTGTTATTTAATATTTGATAAACTGAACCAGTGCCCAATTCAAAGTGTTATCTTAAGCACTCGGGTGAATGGGCGTTTAGGTTGTTAAGCTTTATGCGGGCCTTGGGTCATGTCACGAGTATACAACCAGTATGATATTCTTACCAGCATGTTACCAATGGCAAAATACATATTTCTCTAACGGCATAAAACAAGATCCAGTCATTTGAATTGTTCCTCATACCATCTGAATTGGGATACTCTAACACTCTCAGAGCCTGCAGACGGTTTTTAAATTATTAAATGTTTCGATAGTGTAAAATTTGTGAGCTTAAAGTACATTATATGCTGTACACATATTGCTTGAATTTATGTAACTTCCATCTCCTTAAAGTACCAAATAAGCACAAATCGTATATTTCTGCGTGTTGTCACAAACTAATTCTTTCTCTGTATTGTCTGTGAAGGCATTTGACCTCCTCCAGTCAATCACAGTCGCCTTCAACACGTACAGCTACATACCCGATATTTCATACCCTACTTGACCTGGTATTGCTGATAGACAAAGAAGTGTTGTGCACACACGACATAATCCGCTCAAGTCGTACATTACCATACAGGCAACATCACACGGCTGTGTCAACATTGATGGACGAACTGATAGGGAGGGCTCAGTGCGTGACGGGTTGATCACAAAGTTATGACCGACGGCTGAATTCCGGACGTGGAGGACAAACACGGATCACATACCGGCACCTACCACAGGATTAAAGATCGCTTGTGGACCTCACAACTCAACACGCCAGAACAGTGGAGTCGATGTTGCAGAACTTCTGTGTGGCATTAACACACGCATCGAACATGGTATTGTATCTCACGAGTCCGAGTTCGTAGTCCTGTGGACAGAGCGCCTTAATGGGGAGCGGAGGGTTCGAGCCTTGGCCGGGTCATACCAAAAACACGAAAGATGATACTTCTTATTATCGTGCATTAATAGTGCAAAACTAAGTTTAACAAAATCATTTTTACATTTGTAAGATTAATATTACTAAGATAACATTCACAATTCAATAGAAGTTTGTATGATGTAACGGACTTATCTATTTCAGCGTTCAGGGTCCAGGTTCGATTCTGCTGCTGGGTCCAGTCTGTGGAGCCCATTTCTGCCTGTCGTGATAGCACTGAAAGCAACGTAAAACCTCATTCACTCACGCAAACAATTCTCAATAATTCAGGTCCATGGGTTCTTGTTCTGGGAGTATGGACATATTTCTTACATTCGAATAAATAAGAGTGAGTGAGTTTAGTATTACGCCGCTTTTAGCAATATTCCTGCAATATTATCACCAGAAATAGTCTTCACATATTGTACCCACGTGAGGAATCGAACCCGGGGCTTCGGTGTAACGAGCGAACGATTTAACCACTAGGCTACCCCAAAGGCCCTCGACTAATCTGACATATTTGTGTAAATTTTGCTTACATCAAATATGGCAATGATTACAGAGATAGTTTTTGAGAAAATGACAACACCGAAGAAGACGCAATAGGGAACATCGCAAGTATACAGCAACGTAAGTAGCACCTCACAAGTACAGAATCACAAATACTTCAAAGTAAGTTCGACGACATGAGTACAACAATCCACATGAAAAGTACAACGCAAGTACAACGTCGTCCGTTCCTTATGCTTGTCTCCCAGTGGAACATATGGTTTGAACAGATCCCCAGTACGCCAAGCATGTAACCCGTGGAGTGAGTGAGTATGGTTTTATGCCGCTTTTAGCAATATTCCAGCAATATCACGGCGGGGGATACCAGAAATGGGCTTCACACATTGTATCCATATGGGGAATCGAACCAGGACCGTCGGCGTGACGAGCGGACGCTGTAACCACTGGGAGGGGCTTCCAGGTTACAATATACCTCTATTAAGCAATACCCGTCTGTACTTGTCGATTCCGGCGCACATTTGCCCCGCAGTGAGATTTACGGGATATCAAATGATCGGCCCTGACTGGTTTCTGTTATAATTTATGATTTTGATATTCAATGATCACACCCTTCTACTTGTCATGGTTGCAAGGCCAACTTTCTTATTAAAACAACTGACCTTTTGAACTTCACACATTTTTGCCCCTGTACCATCTCAGACACCGCCTATTTACGTACTCCAATTTAAAATCGATAAATATTTTACAGTCTCTTCAAAGTTCGTCTTTCAAAGGATTTCCCAAGATGAAATTAACTAATTCAAACACAATCCCAGAATGTTCACAATGAAACACGAAAAACAAGATTTAGCATGCTGGAAAACCGGACCCCCCAAATTAATCTGGTTCGAAGCCTGTATATGCCCAATGCAAACCTTCGTGTTAATTACCCCCGGGCTTTAAACGTTGACCGAGCGTCTCATATTGTGGAGGTATGTTTATTTGGGCTCCTAGTCAAATATTGCTTTGTTGACATTCGCTCTCATTATACAGATTTTCCAGATTTATGTTGAAAGAGAACTTACCATGCCCTGTACACTCATATCGCCTACTCTCATATTTGTGTAATTTCCACATAACCAACACTTCATAGCCAAGTACAAAGACATTACTATAAAATGCATAGCGATGAGTTTCTCGAGCACCGCAATTAAATGGATATTTTCCCCATGTTGGTTGGTTTCGAGAGCGGATTATTTGACCATGGGCTCATTAGCGTCTGTGGTGTTGGAGTGTTTATTGTGTCATCGTGACACTGTCACGCTCATGATGAAGAGAAAGAGTTGAAACCTGAACTGATCACTGCTCGGACTACAAGTAAGGCGTTCGAGGTTTGCGACGTCTTGCCAGCTCTTTGCGTAAGGTAATTTGCTGGTCCATCAGAGCGATCGATTAGGCCATGACGAGGCGCACGTGGCCATCGCGACTTCCGGTTGCATGGTTGTATTTGTACAGAAATAGCTAAATATGATCAGCTGTTCCTATTCACGGCTTTGTTTCATGTAGACGTGGTTCATACATTGTCTGGGCGACAAAACAATGCATCACATTAGGGAGCTGCTACACATGCTTCACGTGAAGGCAGATGAGATTCGGGATTGTTCAGAGGTCCAAGGAAGTCTTGTATTTCGCACTACCGCTTCTGTAAACAGTGAATATGAATAAGATGCACTCGGGACAAGCAGGTGATGGGAAAAGGCGAGTAGCGCCGAATATGGTAAACGTCTGTATCTAGCATAGCCGATCATGAGTAAATTTCACAAATGTTATAAACATGGCAAGTCTGGGCCAGGTAAACTGCAGGGCCTCGATTTTCAAAGCTCTCTTAGCGCTAAGATAGTCGTAAGTTAATGTTAATGTATGGTAATTACGACTATATTAGCGGTAAGAGAGCTTCGAAAATCTAGGCCCAGGTGTCTCCACGAACGCAGTCTGCTACGACTGAGACACATTACCAAACCAGTGCCTAGATTTTCGAAGCAGTCTTAGCGCTAAGATAGTCGTAAGTGCCATACATTAACATTAACTTACGGCTATCTTAGCGCTAAGAGATCTTTAAAAATCTAGGCGCAGGGCCCCGTTCCTCAAAGCGATCGTAGCACTACGACAGTCGTAAGTCTATGTTAAGGTATGGGAGTTACGATCACCTTAGCGCTACGATAGTCATAAGTCTATGTTAAGGTATGGGAGTTACGATCATCATAGCGCTACGACAGTCGTAAGTCTATGTTAAGGTATGGGAGTTACGATCACCTTAGCGCTACGATAGTCGTAAGTCTATGTTAAGGTATGGGAGTTACGATCATCTTAGCGCTACGATAGTCGTAAGTCTATGTTAAGGTATGGGAGTTACGATCATCTTAGCGCTACGACAGTCGTAAGTCTATGGTAAGTTATGGGAGTTACGATCATCTTCGCGCTACGATCGTTTTGTGGAACGGGACCCTGGACTGTCTGATGTTGGCTCCACCACAGCGTCTACGTCAGTAGAGGCGAAGTGAGTAAGTGAGTTTAATTTTACGCCGCTTTTAGTATCATTCCAGCAAACATCACTACGGGGACACCAGACATGGGCTTCACACAATGTACCCATGTGGGGAATCAAACGTGACGATCGAACGCTTTAATCACTAGGCGGTCCCAGAGGTCGTGTAAGATTGTTGCTTACATAGCGACGTCGGTGCACATGCGTCCGTGCGTGTGTGCATGCTGATTCACTGTGGAGTCACTAAAAGTTTTACGAAGGCTTCTCCTTAACGAAGTGGAACATGTTTGTAGCACTGTCGAGTTCCCTTGTAATAATTTCGCGTTCCCTTGCTGTACTACAGTTTTCCTTGCAATAAACTCACATCACACAATCTGGTGATTCTTATTGAGATAGTGAAGGGTTTGTTCTGGTGTAAATAAATCTCAGTGCTAGTCCACTGAGTTACCAAGCCGAAGTGGAACACGGATAGCCCACTCAGACACAGTACAACCGACCAGCCCATTTGTATCCAATAATGCTGACCGCCAGCCAGGATAATATCATGTATCATTTTCTAATATGTTTTGGTTTGATCCAGCCGGGGTTCGAACTTGCGACCTTTCCCCTCTCTGGATCCATGTCAGTAGATCAACGAGACCAAAGGGTGTTGGTAGTGCTGAGGAATGCGCTATCACAGTTGTATGTACATCCTGGGATAGCCTGATGATTGACGGCCTGGATACCCGTGAAGATGATCTTAACCAACCAATGCTTGTCGTAAGAAGCTACTAACGGGATCGGTTAGTCAGATTCGACTGATTGGTTGACACATGTCATTGTATCCCAGCTGCGTAGATCCATGCTGATGATGTCAATCACTGGATCGTCTGGTCCAGACTCGATTGTTTACACGCTTATTGTTTGCATAGCTGGAATATTGCTAAGTGCGACGTGAGAAAAAAAATCAAACCCCAAAACGGATCAGACATGCCAGTGGTGGATAGCATGAGCAATACTCTGGGACGACACCAGGATGCAGGTCTCAGGATACAGGCACCTCCTTCTGAAGTGACATCGATAACTCCTGTACTATAACATGGACTCAGGACTGTCGTAGCGCTAAGGTGATCGGAATTCCCATATTTTTACATGGCTTTACGACTGTCGTAGCGCTAAGGTGATCGCAACTCCCACACTATAACATGGCATTACGAGTGTCGTAGCGCTAAGGTGATCGTAACTCCCACACTATAACATGGCATTACGAGTGTCGTAGCTAAGGTGATCGTAACTCCCACTATAACATGGCATTACGAGTGTCGTAGCGCTAAGGTGATCGTAACTCCCATGGCATTACGAGTGTCGTAGCGCTAAGGTGATCGCAATTCCCATACTATAACATGGCTTTACGACTGTCGTAGCGCTAAGGTGATCGCAACTCCCACACTATAACATGGCATTACGAGTGTCGTAGCGCTAAGGTGATCGTAACTTCCACACTATAACATGGCATTACGAGTGTCGTAGCGCTAAGGTGATCGTTACTCCCATATTTTAACATAGACTTACTATTGTGGAGCCAGTGAGGAAAAACACCACAACGCTGCTTCCCAAGATTCAAATTCCGGATCGCACCATGCCTTACTCCTATGGGTTTCACCAAAGCGCTAAACATTAACGACATGACATGGCGGAAATAATCGCTATACATTCACTTGTTTAAATCTCCTGGACCCCCTTCCACAGTACGATCTCCTAAGTGCTACGACTGTCGTACGTCTATGTTAAAGAATGGGAGTTACCATGACCTTAACGCTACGCTCGCTTTGTGGAACGGGGACCAGGGCCTAGATTTTCGAAGCTTTCTTAGCACTAAGATAGTCGTAAGTGCCATACATTAACATTAACTTACGACTATCTTAGCGCTAAGAGAGCTTCCAGAAAAAATTCTAGGGTACTGACGCGGTCGAGAACCCGCGATTCCGCTCGCGGACGCTCATATCATTTACCGTGGGTCTTTATATGGTGACATGCGCTGAGAAATATCTTCTCATGGAGACTCGTGCTTGGCTGTATTTGCGATGCGTCGTATTCATAGTGAGCGAGTGAGTGAAGGCGGTCTCATGGAGACTTTTACGCCGCCTTTAGCAATATTCCAGCAATATCACGGCGGGGACACCAAACATGGGTTTCACACATTGTACCCATGTGGGAATCGAACCCGGGTCTTCGGCGTAACGCGCGAACGCTTTAACCACACGGCTACCCCACCGCCCCTCATATTCATAGTATATCACAGTAATATAATATCAAAACAAACGTCATTTTTACTTTGAAGCATGACTTTAATCTCCATTCACGTCATATGTTCAAATTATTTAGGCAAAATGCTATGGAATTCGAGAATGAAGTGTAGAACTGATGGGTGCATGTTTGATCTAATTAGAAACAGTTTGTACCCACTGGGTGCAGATCTGCTCACCTAACAAGTCTACAGTACCATTTTCAAAATGAGCTCTCCAACAGCTCACTGAAAAAAGCAGGCAGCAATTAATATTTTATTAACAAAGTCCACACAAACGCTCTGAAAATTAATTTGGACAAATTATCGTTTTGTGTTTGCGAAACCAGTTCATTACAAAAACGGGACAGGCGGCATTTCTTTAGTCACATGACTAGATGGAATTCATTAATGGCGT